AAGAATGTCTTTTTATAATATAATTAAACTAAGATTTAATTGCAATACATTATCTTATCCCTTCGCTTTGCGCACACGTGATCAATTTTATTCGCCCGATTAAAGCTATGTCTAATGAGTCAATTATGGTCTAGTTAATAGCAATGACCTAATCAATAATTAGATAAGAGTAAAAGTGTATGGAAAGAAACGGACACACGAACGCTTTGGCCCCATTTGGTCTTTCTAACATATCGATATGCATAATCGATAACCGTTTCCGTGAACAGGGAATGTTGCGTAGTTTAATGAGAAATTTAACGAGAAGATGAATACCGCTGACCCTTGCAACATCCTTATCGCGGAGATGCCCACTCTCTGACCGAAAATAAGTTCAGTAGTAAATTCGCGATCGTTCATGCAACATGCAAAGATTACCAATTTGCTTAATTGTCTTTACGTGCCTTGGTGTTGGCACCTGGGCAATTGAGGGTGTCAAAGGTGGACATCGACCGCGTTATCCTACAAGCGGGAGTTACAGTAACATCAATTCTTCGCAAAATGGCCTTTGCCATAAAAGAGTGCCGTAAGTAATCAATTCGAGACCAACGTCGTACTTCTGATAATGCGAATATTATTTTCTGCTTGCAGTATTTCTTAAGAAATAGCTTAAAGGTAACAATATTTGCGCCTTTCAGATACAGCCATGTTTTAGCTTTAAACGCCAGCGGATCGCTTTACAATACTATCCCTCAAGCGCCTGAAGGTGGTCATCCTGTAAGTAATTGTCTCTTTGAACCAAAGACAATTTATGAAAAGATTCTTGAATTGATTTTTGATAAATATAACGAAAATATCTTAGATAAAATTTCAGAATGCGATATTTTCTGTGCATTGATTAGAAATCTCTCTAATTAAAAAAACTCGATGCAAAGAAATTATTAAATAGACAATATTATATTTTATAGACGGTATGTGAGAAACATAATCTATAGAAATCAATGCCTTAAATGGTCTAGCTGGATCTTAAGTGCTTATATGATTCTATATACTATGAATTTATATACTATGTCTTTTAAAATACTCACCGAAATCAACTCACTATTATTCAAAATGATTTTGTCTTGAAACGCAAACTCTACTAAACTACCGCAGTGATATCACGAGTTAAATTGACTAGCAATTTAACAATTTGATGTTTTTTCGAATAATCTTAATAATGTTAAATGGCATATTAAAATCTGTAAATTAATTCTTATTACGAAAAATATTATCTCGGCCGAGAGTCGAACCCGGATCTCTTACACTCCGTGCGAAAGTTCTAAGCCTTTAATCTGCCGAGGCACGGAATGCAAAAGATCCGGGTTCGACTCTCGACCGAGGCAATATTTTTCGCAATAAGAATTAATTATTTACACTCAGCATTATTACGATCTTTCATTATTAAGATGCGAAAAAACATAAAATTGTTAAATTGCTAGTCAAAGTTAATTCGTGATATTACTGCGGTAGTTTAGTACACGGAAAAAAAATTAATTGGGTGGTACAGCAAATCTATAACTTACTGCGCGAATTCAATGTCTGTAACTAAGAAGATTTGATGGTTTAACAAATCGCTAATGTTATTCAACCGTCGACTTTGTTACTTTACATAGAAAATTGACTGTCTGTATATTACAACTATAGATTTGCTGAATCAATGAAGTTTCCTGTTTGTTTTTTTCGTATAGCTTCGACAATTATAAGATAAATTATAAGATAAATTCTGTTCATCAGCCCGATGGTTGGATCACTATTTTGGACTGTTGTGATGGCTACGTGCGCAATGTGACGAGCGGTCTATGCGAACCGCAATGTGAACGCGGTTGTTTTGGCGGCCGCTGCACAGCCCCGAACGTCTGCAGCTGTCCATCGGGATGGCGTTCCGAGGATGGCGTTTGCATGCCCGTTTGCTCGTATCGATGCCAGGAGAATGCTTATTGCTTCTCGCCCGAAGTGTGCGTGTGCAAATTGGGCTACGACGAGATCAACGGTCAATGCAAGCCGATCTGTCCTGATGGATGCAAGCAAGGCGAATGCGTGGCACCGCGCGTCTGCAGCTGCAGACAGGGATACGTTCTGAATGAACGCAAGGAGTGCGTGGCAGCGTGCGAAGGCGGTTGCGTGCATGGCGTGTGCAGCGCACCAGGCGTGTGCACCTGCGATGAAGGGTAATTAAATGTCGTTATCTCGAATCTCTCCGATCTCCAACCTGCGCCAACTGCGCAATGTCTTTCGCATCGACATTCCGCGCGATAATTAAACTCTGATTTACGTACGTAGTACGTTACGTAGTAAGTAACTTATTCCTACAAAACGGATTGTAATAATTGCGATATAAATAATTGATAAATCAATGATGAACTCATCAAAACTATTGTACTTTAAAAGCAATTACATTGTGCGTGTAATCGCTTATTACATGCAGATACATAAATTAGTTGTTTTGTAATTTTCGCGTAATCACGTCGACGTACATAACGTTATTTATTATAATAATATTGCCTCTTGAAGTGCAGTCACGCGTTATGATAATAATAAGTTTATAAATTACTAGTTTTGCAGAATGAGTATCGAGTTGATCTTATGTATCCAAGTCAAGAAAAAATCAAAATTACTTCATTTTGACATTATGAAATTGAGTAAAAAATAATGATTTTTTTGTTACAAATATATTGACATTGAGAATTAAATAAATTAAAATCATTTTGATTTTTTATTGACTTTTATGTGTCTCTTGGTGGGACATTTTATAGATGCTGTCCTTCAATAATAAATTCTTTAGCAATTTTAACTCCCTAATAAATTTCCTAATCTAGTTTCTTTTGTCGATCAATAAAGCGTATAAATATAATATATAAATAATATATCATAATGCAGCTATAAATTGTTTTACAGATACACCAACTTTTTGGGCGATACCGAGTCCTGCATTCCCCATTGCCCGACCAGTTGTCCTAATGGCGAATGCGTCGCACCAAATCTTTGCTCATGCAAGAACGGTTTCACGCGCAATCAAACCGGCGCTTGCATACCTATCTGCCCGGGTGGTTGTGAAGGAGGCGAGTGCATTGCACCCAACTTTTGCAGCTGCAGACCTGGATACACGCAGGATCGTCACAACGGCAAATGCGTCCCGAGTACAGGTTCAGCGCAATGCGGATACGGATACACCGTCGATCCTGATACCCGTAGATGCATCCCCGTAACGACAACCCCAACATCGCAGCCCGTCGGCGATTGCAGATATGGCTGCGGTCCGCATAGCATGTGCGTGGAATATCGGTGCATCTGCGAACCTGGATTCACTGTCGACCCCGATACTGGCAGATGCATCTCCGTCACAACACCCACGACTAATTCGACGCAATGCCGATACGGTTGCGGGCCAAACGGCCGATGCATTGGTTCCAACTTGTGCGTCTGCGATCCGGGATTCCGCGTTGATCCCGATACCGGAAGATGCATTCCACACGTGAGCACGAGCGCGGACATGTGCCAGTATCCATGTTTGAACGGTCGATGCACTGGACCGGATCAATGCACCTGCAATCATGGGTACACGCACAACGAATACGATAGGACGCGTTCAAGATGCGTGCCGGTGTGCGTTGGTGGATGTCCGAACGGTGTATGCACCCTGCCCAACTTTTGCATATGCAACCCCGGATACCGAAAGGAAGGTGTCAAGGGTCGGCAGAGATGTATTCCAGAGTAAATGAGTTGACTGCATACAAAACATATTGTTAGATATATAGTTTGATTAGATATTAGTTTGATAAAACTAATATTATCAAATCAATAATATTATGATCAACTGAATTTATATAAATAAACTGATAATATAAATTATAAATAATTCTTTGTGTCTTTTATTTCATGCAATATGTCTAAATTTATTAATTATGATACCTTTAAGAAATAATAATATGAAAATAAAATATTTTCACACATTTAAAAGTTTCTGGATTGTGATAATTATTTTGATAATTGCATGCGCATTCTTGAATAATGTTGTGGACTAATCAATACGGATACGATTTTCTCAAGGTAAACAAAGTGTTTAAATATGTAAAATTCTAATGGCAAATGAATGCATTAATTATATAACAAATCATAAAATTAATTATAAAGTCGGGCATATAAATAGAAGCGCTCTATAAATCTTACATTCTCATAAAAGAATATGTAAAAATGACGTTATGACTAACCACAAATGCTATCGCGTGCAGTTTTACACATCAAAACTAATGTTATTACATTATAAATGGGTTAAATACGGACTGTATCCTTGACCCAATACGTCAACTTCGCGTAAGTTTCGCTCAAGAAAATGCATGTTCCCGTTTATGCACTGTTAAACATGCGGAATCGATTCGTTTACGCCACGAAACAATTATGCAGTTTCTCTCCAGAGCTCGACGCAATGCATATTTCTTAAAAGCGATTTACAAGATATTCCGCAACGTGTTATGTACTTATATATTTAATATATCTTTATTATTTTCACAATGAGATGTAAAGTACTTTGTACCCAGCATGATTCACATCTCATGAACAGAAACCAGATAATGTAACATTTTATTCAGGATTTTCATCATTCTTGTCTTAAATAGAATTTCAATTCCTTATATTCGCACGCAATCTCTTACGTACAAATAAATTAATAATTGCAATGCCAGATGTTGTAAAAATTTTTAGCAATTTATGTGAAATAGAACTGCTAAAAATTAAAGAAGCTCATTTTGCTGATAAGCAGAGATTCATATGGATTTAATTGTAACTGCTGACAACAGCTAACATCCTGTCGGATTCTGATAGCACGCTACTGTCATAGCTCAAAGAGGAGGCTTCAGTATAAGTTGCGACGCAATATACTTTGCAACACGCTTTATCCACACACTGATCTATCGTTCGCATTTGGATCTCCCTTCAAATGTATATGTTTAAATATATTCGGTAATTATGAAACTTTTGTACGTCATATTTATTCTTGCCATTCTACAAGACGAATTGATTATTAAAGTAGAATTGCATACTGAAACGTTGTCAAGTGATTATTCTACGGGAAATTGTAGTAAAATTGTTAGGTAAGATTTGCTATATTTTACGATTAAAAATGTTTATCGATACTATCGTAATGTATAATTGGCGCACAAGTGAGCTAATAATATTAAAATAATATTAAAATCATGCGCTGTTTGCAGTTTTATGGAAACATCTGAAGTTCCATACTTGGAAACGTTTAAGGAAAAAACGTGGGGTATTTTTTATAAAACCCGCGTTCGATGGAATTATAAAATTGAGGTAAGGTTTAAGTATAGGATTTCTATTCAAAGTAATATTCTCGTTAAAATAATAGAATTCAAAATGTGTTATAAGTATATTTAGCGCACATAATGACATTTATATTTATCGGAAAATAAAATAATTATTCCGTAATATAAGAATTTTTTAACTGAATGATTAAAAAAGAGACGAATAAAATTATAGAAAGATAAAAGTAATATTAAAATTATAGATACAGCTGACAATATATAGCTGATAACTTTTATAGAAATAATATATCTTCAATAAAATTTACGGCTTATTTTGTAACATTTAATATTAAAATTTTAAAACTCTAAATTTTTGTTGAAAAAATATTATTTCTTAATTTTCAATAAGTATCACTCTGCTAATCAAATCACTTTTTATCAAACTTTTATTCTGTGTGTGTGTGTGTGTGTGTGTGTGTGTGTGTGTGTGTGTGTAAAATTCTCTAAAGATAGCATTTTTGTTGATTAGCACTCTACATACTTTTACGCATACAAATAAATATTATTATATATACAAAAAACTCGTTTCTATTGTTAGTCTCGCAAATCATGGCGTATGGAATACGAGTGTTGCGACGGATTTGAACGTAAACTCTTTTGGGACGCTTCGAATATGAAAATATATGCAAAATGTGAACCATTTTGTCGGCCTCCTTGCGGAAATGGTACATGCACGAAGCCAAACTTGTGCATCTGCAATTATGGATACATTTTTACATACTCTGAAACTTCAAAGTCTGACGTTAGCTGTGTTCCTGTGTGTACTCCCCCTTGTGTACACGGGAAATGTGTCTTACCCGACACTTGCATGTGCGATTCTGGATACAAATCGACAAATGATCATTACATCTGCGAACCCATTTGCAATGTACCTTGTCCTACAGGATCATATTGCTATAAACCCGACCAATGTCTCTGTCTGAACGGATATAAAAACATTTCTAATGATGTCAAATTAACTAATGTAAGTAAACAATAAAAACACTTTGATTTATTTATTTATTCAAATTGAATTTGACCTAATTAATATATTAAGCGTGTCATAAAAATAATGTCATACAAATAATGTCATAATAATTGGAAAGATATTAATATTAAAGGTAATATAAGAAAAGAGTCACACCTTTTTGTACTCAGATGTGCGAGCCTATTTGTGAAAGAGAATGTGTTCACGGAAAGTGCATAGCCCCCAATATCTGCACTTGCGATGATGGTTACGAGCCTGATACACACGACTTATTTGCCTGCAAGCCCACGTGCGAGTATGGTTGTCTGTATGGTGAGTGCACCGCTCCTAATGTATGTACCTGTAATGAGGGTTACTCATTAAACACCTCGAGCGTTTGCGAACCAATCTGCAGTGAAGCTTGCGTTATGGGCACTTGCGTGGCTCCTGAAAGTTGTAGCTGCTTCGTGGGCTACGGACTTGAGAATTCAAATTATATCTGCGAACCAGTCTGTGAAAAGGCTTGCCTCAATGGACGATGCACTGCGCCTGGCACATGCATGTGCAACGAAGGATTCCAATTAAGTGGTGACGAGACAGAAGAGCACATTTGTAAGCCTTATTGCGAAACTTCTTGCGAACCATTCGGCGTCTGCACTGCGCCGAATGTTTGCTCCTGTTTTGAAGGATATCGCCTGGCTAATAAGATGCAAATTGAGAAAATCGTTAGTATTAAACTAGCAAGATTATATTAGATCTGAGACGTGACGGCAATCCAAGATCTATAATTATGATTTGACAAATGAATTTATACCTATTTATTTTAGTGGCTTTAAATAATTATATCAAATCTCTATCTAAGCCGAATATTTCTATTGTCTAATGTTATTTCGAGAATACGTTAATTAGATTTGTACGTAAGATTGGTTTTCAGAATTTGCTACATTTTGCGAGCAGCTCGGTTTGCGAACCGATCTGCGAGATCGAATGCATAAATGGATTCTGTAGCGCTCCATGGACGTGTAGTTGCAACATCGGCTATCATCCAACATCGACGATCTCTATGTCAAGTCCCTATGTCTGCCAACCTATATGTAGTCAGAAATGCTTCAACGGCTTCTGTACCGCACCTGAGACCTGCATGTGCGATTCGGGCTATCGTCGTTCCAATTCTTGGAATGAATGCGAGCCGATCTGCGAGACTGATTGCATCAATGGATATTGCACTGCGCCAAACGAATGCACCTGCAATTCCGGCTACCAACCTACCGAAGGAAATCGTACGAGTCTTTGCGAACCTATTTGCAATCCAAGTTGCAAGAACGGTATCTGCGTACAACCCGACGCATGCAGTTGCAACCCGGGCTATCGTCTGTCGATGAATTCTAAGACAGTGTGCGACCCTATCTGTCACCCAGCTTGCGGAACAAACGGAATTTGCGAAGCACCCGATCTCTGCGTTTGCAAGGATGGTTATCGCATGGTTTATTATGACAGAAAAAACGTTCCGTTCAGATGTGAGCCGATTTGTAGCATTGAATGTGGCAATGGCACATGCACGGCGCCGGATCTCTGTATGTGTTTCGATGGCTATCGAAACGCAGAAATTGGCGGATGCGAGCCCATCTGCTCGATTTGTAACAACGGCAGGTGCGTTGCGCCTGAGATTTGCGAATGCAACGACGGATTTGTTCCTGCGGATCCGAATCTCGAATTTGGAGTAAAAGACTCTCGATCTCCGATTGTCTCCGAGAATAGAACGAAAAACGAAAGCAGATGCCTGCCGTATTGCGAGAATTGCGATAATGGCGAGTGCGAGGCACCAGGAGAGTGTCGATGTTATGCTGGTTTCGTAAAGATCGAAGGCACCTGCGTACACGCGTGTCAAGGTGATTGCAGTACTCACGGCGAGTGCGTCGAGGAACGCAGAACTTGCGAATGCGATTACGGATGGACTGGATTACATTGCGATCGTCCAACATTGTGTGTCTTAATCTTGAAGAATGAAGATAATCGAACTGATCAGTGAGTATATATAATAAGTACCTTATAAATTCATCTTTTCCACGCAATTAAAACGTATAATAAAAATTATAATGGACGATATATTTAAGTATTATGATGTAACGAAATGATAATTTGATACGTTATTAACAAAAAGATGAGCATAACGTTAAGATATTTTTATATTATCATAATTATTTTGATTTTATGATAATATCTGAAATAAAAAAAGTCTCTTACGAATTATCTGTTAATCATTCATTTTTTACAGATTGAGAATTATAAAAGAAAAAAATGCTACGATTGAGCATATACTTAAAAATAACCCAACTTGTTCCGAGTGCATTGGTAAAGTAAACAATGAAACTTTGTGTTTTAAAATGTTTGGCAATGATACAGAGGATGAGGCGGAAATTGGTTGCTTAATGAATGAAGGTTTGTTATAAATATGTTTACTTTAAAGGAATTAATATATTATATATATATAAAATTGTAGTAAATTTATTACATTTGAATATTTAATATTTAATGGAATCAAATGTCGATAACTTTTAATATGAAAAATATTCGTAAATTCTTAATATATAAGCTTTTATATTAATAATAATGAGGCAAAAGAGATATCACTTTTGTTAACTTAATTAATCTATAAAAAGTCAAAAAATTTGAGATATATTTTGATGATCAAATTTGTTAAAACGCTAATAATTTTACACTTAGAATTCCTTATATTTCCTTGGATAGATTTGTACTCGCAATATAATTAATATTCTTCTACATAATATTAAAATTATTTTTTTAAGACTACTTTAATTTTTCAATAAATTTATGTAAAGCACAATAGTTCTAAAATATTCTACTCGAAATATTTGATTATTTTATAATTAGAATATATATTATTTTCTTGATTGTTGTATCACGAACTTTTAAATCTTTAATTTTTTTTCGATATATTATTCCGCAATAAACTAATAAGAACTTCTCTATCATTTTTTTATATTAGAATGCCTCGCATTGAGCAATATAAGTCAATATAAGAATCAAGGAGAAATGATCAAACTAATAAGTGGAATTATAGGTGGAATATTACTTCTAACAGCTATAACCATATATGTGATACGAAAACGCCGAAATAGACAGGAGCTAGGTATTTGTATTATCAATTTTCATTAGATGTATTATATCTAAATTCTAAGATAACGGTGTGTATTAAAATTTTTTTCAATTGCACATGTTCATTTCATTTAACACTAATTGTAAGATGGTCTAAAAAAAATAAAGACAGATACCTATAATATATCAATTAATTAAAAAAAAGATCTTAAACAATTATCGCTTAAGAATAAGAAATAAAAAGTTAAATTTATTTAAACTAATATATTAAAAATATGTATTTATATAGAAGAAAGGCTATTATGGGATACCGAGTTAATTTTGGGTAAATAGGACCCGTATTCAGAACGTTCTTTTATCGATAAAAGAACATTTTTATGTCTCAAATTCTATATTATGCGTGATGTAAAGTATAGTATGGTTAACATCATTGTAAGCACGTTCTAAATACGAGCCTAGAAATCTATGGGCAAAATTTAAAAAAATAATAAGTCATTTTTTTAAGGGAATTTAATAAGCTTTAGATAATTATGTTATGTAAAATTTAAAATTCTATTTTTTTTTAATTAAAAAAAATGTAAAAAGTGAGCAAATCGCAAAGTCAAAAAATTGTGCTATATGAGACGTCATTTTGACATTATCGTGACTTGTTGTTCTTGGGTAGGTTATTTCATATTAGAAATACTCTAGATATCTCATATTACGATTTCCGCATCTTATGGTTTTACGATAATCAAACTTCTATAATGAAGCAATACAATATATCCTACATTCTTCTAGTAATATAATCTTATTATTACTACATGAAGAATTTATCGCCAAATATTTACTTTTATTAAATAATAAACAAGGTTTAAAGACTCATCTCAATGAAACTTGAAGCTATATAATTATTCTAAAATCCTTTTTTACAATGACTAGATGCATGATCTAATAATGAATTTTCCATTAAATAGTTTTCAATCCAAGAGCAATAAATTCATGGTGGAACCAATAAATAGCGTTTATTAGCAGAAACACCGCTATCTCATATTAGGCGCCTATCTCATAATAGGTGGCTTTCCTCTATATTTTTAAATTTCTATTTAATTTTGGAAAAATATTAGAAATATAAATATCAAGAAATACAAAGAACAAATAAAAGGTTTAATAAATTATTTTTATTAACAGGTGATGTTCAGAATATTCAGATAATTTGTAAGCATAGTACATCAACACAAGGACTAATGGAATCAAATACCGATAACTAATAAATCAAATACCGACTCTTAATATAAAAAATATCCATAAAAATCTTAATATATAAGCTTCTTATACTAATGATAATGATGCAAAAGAGATATTATTTTTGTTAACTTAATTAATCAATTATAAATTATCCAATTATAAATTATCCATTGTATCAAAAAGCATCGATTATTAATAGTTTTCATGGTGCAAGAGTAACTTTTTAATCTCTCTAAATTTAAATGGGTACCAATTATTCAGTATTACATACTTGGCACTGATAATCAGTGAAGTTTAACTAAAAAAAGGAAAAATGTTTGAGTAATTATATAACTAAAATACTGATATTTGCATGTTAATTGTCCAATACTATATTCATTGAATTTATGCACTAAAACAAGGTTAGATAGATCACATAATAAAGATCAGTTAGGTTAGGGATCTCACATTTCATTCACTGTACTAGTACTACACTGATTATCAATGGCATACTTGGCACTAATCAATTATCTACTGATTCAGATATAGAGAGTGCCTAAAAATATTTTAATATTATTTTTGTAGTAGAAGATACATATATGAAAATAAGATGCAAATTTCTACGCATTTTTTCTCAATTTACTACGTTACAAATAATAATCTAACATTTATTTTTTATAATTTTCTATTAAATATATAATTAAATGTATAATTGGGATACCATTAAATATTCATAATGAAATGGGACAATACAGAAAAAATATGTACTAAAAGGGCAATTTACATTTCTAAGCAATTAATTTTATTTTATCGTAATAAATTTTTTATTTTATATTAATGGTCATTTCTCATTTGTTTTCATGTAATTTTCTATTTTATTGTTTAATAATTATTAGTTGTAATTATATTTTATTGTATTATTAGTAACTATGTTAAAAATGTGTAAGTTAATTGAAAATACTTTCGAACTTTCGTCCGTTATTTCTTACATAATCCTATAATACCTATTTTGTGTGTGACTTATGAAACCCCGAATATGGGACCACAATAGGGTCATTTTTTAAAAAATATGTTTTTATTTTTTTCTTAAAAACTAATAAATATTTATTAAATATACTTATTAAATTTTAAAATATGCATTATAATTTAATTATTAAAAAAAGATGATGCAAAAATTTGTATATTTAGATGCACTTTTAAGAATTCAAATTTTTGTGACTCATAGTGCCCCGGTCTTTCTCTCTCTCTCTCTCTCTCTCTCTCTCTCTCTCTCTCTCTCTCTCTCTCTCTCTCTCTTTCCTCGGGTATACGTACCTATATATTTACCACAATTGTGTCTATTTTCTAATAAAAATAGTACTTTCTAAACTAAAATAAATGCTTCTAATCTTGCTTCGAGTGAATTTCTTTCAATACGAGCGGTATCAATACTTTAAAATGAATTTTACGCTACGAATACATATGCAAGCTTTGTGTAACTTTCTGATAATACAGCACATCCTGCTTTGAAAGAATAACATGGATATGTTGATGTAAATACATATAAAGTATTAAGATAAAAGAGATAATATGGGAAGGAAGCATTTCAATAGTCAGTCGACTAAACATCACGGAGTGAACATCGACCTCATAATAAGAGCTACAAGTCATGGGGTTACTTAACGGTCTAATCGTTATTTTGGCCGTTAAGATATTTTTAGAAGTAGACGTATGGCATGTGAGTGCAATCTCGTTTACTAATATTTCGTTGTGGAATCAAACCATGAATAGTGAATTGCAAAAAAGAAGTGTAACAACGTTTAATAATTCAAGATGCAGTGACATAATTGTGACCAGGTATTTCAATCTTTTTTGTTATACTTCCTCGAAAATTATATTCTTTTTACATATCATATATTCATTCCTAAAATAATTTGTTTCTTTAAAATATTTTACAAATTATTCGTTTCGATATATTTACACTAAAAAAAAATATTAAATTTTAATAAATATTTGTTTAAATAGTTTTAAGTAAATATTTATTAAATGTAAACATATATTCATTTAATATAAAATTTAATTTAACTATAACATTTTTTTAGTAAATATTTATTTATTGTAAGTAAATGTTTACATAGTAGATACTAGAGAAATATTTATTTATAAAAGATTTAGTAAATTTTTTTCAGTGTATATGTATATTAATATGTCTATTAATTTGTATATTAATTTTATTACAGTCAGAAAATACCAATTTACATTCCCTATAAGGAAACATATAGATCGCCAGAACAAAATATGTCTGAAAAGATTCGAGATAATTTTAGGATAGAGGTCGGATTGATAATGCCTATCATGATACTCATAAAAAAATTATTAGAATTAAGAAAGAGAAGAATTTTGTAAATTAACAATTTTTTTATCTTTATTTTATATTTCAAACAAATTATCAATTTCTCATCTGCTCATTACAATCCGTTAATTCGATAATTATATTTACAGTTTCGCATCATACGAACATGTAGCTGTGAAGGCTACGTTGTATCCGGTACGGACCGGTGCGTACCGCGGTGCCCGCAATCTTGCAAGAAAGGTACCTGCAAGGAGCCAGACGTGTGCACCTGCAACAAAGGGTACCGCATGTCAAGCAAGGACAAGCAGTGCATGCCAGAGTGCACAAGCGGCTGCATTAACGGTACCTGCATTGATCCTGAGGTTTGCAGTTGCAACGAGAACTACTGGTTGGACTCGGACGGATTTACCTGCCGGCCCGTCTGCAATGCAGAATGTGAGCAAAATTACGGATATTGCTCCGAGCCGAACGTGTGCATCTGCAACAAAGGGTACCGCGTGTCAAACGACAGTAAATGTATGCCAGAGTGTAAAAACGGCTGCATCAACGGCACTTGTGTCCTACCCAACATTTGCACTTGCAATGAGGGCTACAGGTTGGACTTGGACGGATTCACCTGTCGACCCTTCTGTAACATGAAATGCGAGAACGGATACTGCTCCGAGCCGAACGTGTGTACATGCAATTCCGGTTACAGAAGAGTCGGTAACGATTCATCTCCATTCATGTGCGAGCCTGCTTGCAATTCCGATTGCGAGCGCAAAAAAGACAGTTGCGCAACTGATCCTGATTTGTGTGTCAAAATAAATTGTAGTCCCGACTTCGAACTGGACATGAATCACCGCTGCAAACCGAAGTGCCATTCTTGCATTTTCGGGACGTGCACGGCATCAGGGACATGCACGTGCGATCATGGTTATACAATAGTGAACGGAAGTGTTTGCAAGCCGATCTGCGAGCCGAGCTGCGGAACCGGCATATGCACTAAACCAGGATTATGCACATGCGATTTTGGATACGTTTTTGATGAAACAAATAGAATGTGCAAGCCGCACTGCTCGGTACCTTGCGGATTAAACAAAGAATGCGTAGCGCCAAATGAATGCAAATGCTCCAAAGGATATCACAAAAAGGATATCATATTTAATTTAGATCATCCACATTTTTGGCATCCTTTGTTTAGAAACGAATTTTCTCTAAGAAGATCGTTTTTCAAGAAGGCAAGTATAGCTGTATAATAAGATATAAGCATTATTTTATTCATTATCGCCATAATTCTTGACACAATGTTTAAGATACAATCATCGATGAAAGTTTTAATCTTCATGAGAAAGCGTTCTCTTTCTCAATAAGATCATAATTCTTTATAAATATTGTTTTTAATGTCAGTAAAAGATTAATTTAATTAAATTCTAGCTATTCGCAATGAATGTACATATTTATCAAGTTATGATTGATTAAATTATAATCATTAAAAAAAGTACTCGATAGAATTAATACGTTCCTAACTTCAATTTTTTTTTAGATCATGCATGAATTAGTTGAAAAAATTTTTTATTAGCTTCGCTTAAGATCTTTCGGAAGAAAGAAAAGAGAGTTTAAAAATTCCTTTATAAAATAAATTTTTTTAGAAATTCAGTTAGAATTTTTGTTCGCTTTGTTATCGTGATTGAAATGGCCAGTGTATATTTGATTTTTTCATCGTTGAGTAGAGAATATTAACAGTAATATCCAATATAATGTGAAGATTGTATATACATTAAAAATATATTGTGTTTCAACATACTATTGATTCAAAGCAGTTCTTAGATTTAGAAAAATCTATTACAATATTTTTAAACAATCCGTTAATCACAACTAATTTAAAAAAAACTCATTTGGTCTAAACTAGCTCGTGTTTTACTGTACACCAATTTGCAACTTCGAATGCATCAATGGTAAGTGCACCGCACCAAACGTATGCACCTGCAACAGGAATTTTTATCCACGGTGGATCGACCATCATCCTTCTCTACCTGACAATTCGCATGAACTACGCATTTGTGATCATCTCCCCGGACCTCCCTGTAACGAGTCCTCGTGCGGGGTTAAAGGGACATGCCACGAGTCCGGCATTTGCATTTGCAATGACGGTTACGTGAGGGACACGAATGGTGATTGCGTACCTTTCTGCGCCCCAATGTGCTCCAATGGCACATGTACGGCGCCAAATCGCTGCGAGTGCCACGACGGCTTCGCGTCACGAAATGAGAGCTTCTGCGAGCCGATTTGCGAAAAGGGTTGCAAGAACGGCGATTGTATAGGTCCAAATGAGTGCATTTGTCACGACGATTTCATATCGAACTTGAACCATCACTTAGGACCGGAATGCATCCCTGAATGTACTCGCAATTGTAGCGAACACGGCAACTGTGTCGTCGACCGCATTGACAATATCGACATCACCTACAAATGCACATGTCATCGCGGATGGACGGGACAGGATTGTGATCAATCGACCATGTGCATGATGTTAATGCTTGACAATTACGAAGATCTCAACAGGTGAGTACTATTTACTTGCCTATTTCTCATTTCTCGCAAAGAGCTATTCAATACTTTTCTAGACAAGTTTTGTATTTTGCAAATATCATTGCAGTACCACGATTCGTAATGATAGTACAATCGATGTACCATTCTTCGAGGATATGTCATATTGTGAATGCAACAAGTCTATTGACAACGAAACATTGTGCTTTAAGCAATATGAAGGCAATACGTCATTTATCAGCTGCTTGTTTAATAAAGGTATTTACAACTTAGAGAAACAATCACATTTTCAGTTGACAAATATTATTTTGTTAATTATCTATAAAAAGTTTTAACTAATGTCTTTTTAAATTTTTTTATTTTTACGTAACCGTTTCAGTAGTGTGACAGAATTTTTTTAGGTCAAGAAAACATTATTTTTAATTCCTTGCAAAATAACTTTTGCTCAATCATGTAAATTATATAAATATTAACGTCAATATAACAAAGAATAAAGTTATGTTGCACAAACTTTTCTAAATAATTAACTCTTCTAAGAAATTAGTAAACACATATTATTCGCAAAATATCAGAATTTCATTTTTCCATAAAAAAATCAATTAAACACTTCTAGTTTATTTTCTAAAAACTTAAAAATATATAACTAGCTTAGAAAAGTTCGAGAAGCTTGTGTGTGCGCAGAAAAATATATATACTGATAAAAATAATATGAAACGTTAAAAAAAAATGATTTTTTTATATAATATAATTCTATCTATAAGAAAAACCTCGAAAAAAACATGAATCGTTCATTTTTATCTTCCATTTTGCAGATTTACCTTGTTACACAACATCTTATTACAATGCCTCCATTAATGGTGCCAAAATAGTTTGGTCTTTCGTGATAGTCACTATATTAGTAGCCACAAGTTTAACAGCAGCAGCATATTTTGTATATCGCAAACGCCAAAAAGAAAAATTCGCAGGTATTTTCCAAAATTTATCATAATTTCACAAGAATATAATAAAAATTTTTTAACAAGAATAATAAAACATGATTGCGGCCTACTTTTAGCTATACGTATAAATCGACATAACAAATGTCGCTTTATGTGAATGATAAACAACTTCCGCGATATCATAAATTCCGCTTTTAAGACGCTTTCCTAATACGCTTTTATTATAAATGTTAAAACAAGTCAAATCGTTATTGTATTATATTTTATTAGAAAACGAGAGAGATAACTATTTTGAAATATTTGTTCCAACAGGTCCGTCGGTACACGTCTTTATGCGAGAATCTTTCAGCACCGAGATTTTGTTGCAATAAGATCTACCTTTGAATGAGATAGTTAAGATTGAACTGTAATAGTTATATAATAATTATGATAAATTGTAATAGTACAATTGTAACTATGAATTAGATATTTTAGTGTTCATATTCTGATGTAACATATTTTAGTGTTATCACATATCATAAGCAAAGATAAATAATTCTCATTTAGATAATACAATCGGTATTAATAATAATATTTTCATACTAAATCTAATCAAGTTATTTACTTCTTTGAACATGTATATCAAGATGATTTGATGACAATAATAAAAATATAAAAATATAAATTCAAAAAACTGTTTTTCAAAATAGAATTCATCTAATACGAACGCTGTTATAATTCATTGAGTTAAACTTCATTGAAGTAAATTGCTAATATTGTCAATCATGAATAGTTTCGTGTGAGCAGGCAATGTAATATCAAGACATGACATAATTGAAACTATTTAACACTGCTCGACAATAATGAACATTCTCCAGATATTTTCGACATGTATGGCCGTAATATATCGGTCACCTCCTTTAGACTGCAATTACTGACCCAGTTGTAGCCTTGCCATCAGCAGTCAGCAGATGTCCATCGATGATAAAGCAGCGAAACTTTATTCCGCAATAAGACTTAACTCCAACGAAAGACTGGAGGCGTGCTGGTCTCTCGTCGCCTTTATTCCCTCCCCCCCCCCTAATGCGAATCGATTACGATGTGAATCGCTATAATTTAACACTCGGCAAACCAACACGCTCACTCGTGGCGCCGGATGAATTTATGAAGGGATGCGCGTCAATTTTCAAAAGATGCGAGGGGCAGTCTTAGCGAGGAAAAGAAAGATGGAAACTGACGGCATCGGGTTGACCGATAAATTAATGGACATACATGCATCCGCCATCCCGGCACTCTCTCCAGAGAGAGAGGCCCACGGCGACTAACCCCGTGCTCTCGATCGACGTGATGTGGACCGACGCGACGGCGAAGCGAGGACGAAGCGGGGCGCCGCGACGCTCGTCGCGTCGGAGTAGCGGCCGCGCGCAGCTGCAGCCGTGTCGCTTTTGCTCCGTGAGGACCGTTCAGTGAACGAGGCGGAGCGGTTTCGAGCGGTGCCCGAAACGATCGGTGTCTTCTCACGGTGCTCGTTGTGCAGTGTAGTTTATCAAGTTTCGCCGTCGAGCGATACGCGAGCGTACGCTCGTGCGAGCGCAGCGGACTCGCAGTGGTAATAACCTTTATTACACCGCCAGGTAGGAAGATACGAACGCACGTAGAAGAACGCACGACGAACGCGACGTAAGGCGCTTCTCCCTGGGGCATCGACGGCGCGAAGGTGCGCCGGGGCGCGAAGGTGCTCCGGGGAGGTCGGGAGGGCGGGAGGGAGGGAGGGGAGGGCAGGCGACGGGGAAGGATGTCGATGCGCCGTCGGTGGTCGGTTTCGGGGGTTGATTCGCGCCGCGGGGGCGATGAGCGCGCTTCCCTCCGCCCTGAGACTGACTTCCTGCTGCTGCTGCTGCTGCTGGCTCCTGCTGACCTGTCTCGTCGTCTTCCTGATACCTGCACCCTGCACCAGCGACACGCCGCAGCAAATAATAAGCCCGGCTCAAAAACAATCGGTAGGTGATGATAACGCGGCGGTGTCCAGCTACCTCGACGACGACGCCGAGGTCTACGAGGACGAGCAGATAGCTAATGGCGACCTCGACGAGGACTGGTTCGGAAATTTTACGGGTAAGTTAGGTCATGGTTCGTATATATTAACTGGATAATCACAGCAATCGATAGCAAGAGAATAATTATTCGACGAAAATTTCCGACAATGGTTGGGTTTAAATTAAAATTCGATAACGGCGAATTTTTTATAAATGCTTTGGTACACCATGATAGAAATTCTTTCGAGTATATATCTCTTATCGAAACGTCGATTAGAATTTCCATCTAAACCGATGAATGATGTATAAGTATTACAATTTATACGACGAAAAAAGACGCTGATATCGATGATTACAGAATCGAACGTTTTGAGAAAAGAAGCCAAGATTTATAAAATAGCTTGATGATAGCATTGTGATCTTAATTCGTTACCTAGGTGATGTCGGTGAAAACGAAATCATATTTCAACATCAAACATCGTTTAAACTTGCTAAAATATAACTTTTTTAACGAATAAAAAAAATAATTTCTGTGCATTGGTAAAAAATTAAATAATCAGAAGTGTAATAAATACTATAATAATATAAAAAGATATATGTATGTAGAAATTGAGGAAATATCACAAAATAATGCTAAGTTTCTAAAAAGATAATTATGCTAATCAAATTGTTGCAAAAGACTTTACAAGTCAAGAAATTGTTTGAGGAAATAAGATAACAACTAGATAAAAATTAAATAATGTACAAGAAAAATACGCTATGAGAGAGAAAATAAACGAGAAGAGTAATAGAGAAAATTATTATTATTATACTTGAGTTTATTCAATAATTAACGTTCATTTAACATAATTTACAATCAAATGTTTGTCCTAGACACAACAATGCTTTATTTTCACGTAAAACAATAACGATCGACGAAGATGATGTATTTCAAGGTTCTCCCTATTTGCACAATATACAAATACTTCCTCAGGAATGTTCATCCATTAAATCATGTGTCTACCATCATTTTCTAATACATTTTCAAAAGTAATTAAATTAATTCGCCAAATATATAAACGCAATTTTTAAGATAAAATTATGAAACCCACTTAATTTGATTTAAAATTAAAAATATGATATGCTATTTTCAGTGAACCGTATAAGATATGGTTTTTTTGTAAAAATAATATTTTAGATTGTTCGAAATTATGATAAAGAAAATTGGTTTAGTAAATTGTTAAGTTAAATGTAATAATTATTAAATTTTTCCATTCTGCTTCTAAAAATCATGTATACTAATTAATGTTTCAATTAATGCTTTGTTCAAACCACATTTAAATTTTTGTTAAATGTCGTATCATGAATATTCTTTTGCTTCAATAAAGATTTTAATTTTTTTTGCGTCTATCTCATTTTGCTCTTCTTATACACACACTCTTATCCCTTTTCGATTTTATATTAAAACACTTAACTTATTATTCTTACGTTTTAAAGGAAATGAAAAGTGCCTCGGGCGATTTGTCTTAGCACACGCGTCGATTTAACCAAAAAGGAAATACATTCTTCTTGATTTTCGCGCCAAGAACGCCACCGGTATTGATTTTAATGGATGCTGCAAGCTCCGCGCGTTCCCTAAGTCCGCATGTGTCAGTTGAACTACACGTTGTGCCTACGTTTTCCTTAAAAGTAGAACGCAGGGAAGAATAGTGCATTTCATGGCGTACATTTTTTGCTCTTTCACGATGCATTTTTTTTATTAGAAAGATGCAATCGGATAGAATGGATTAACAAAAAGGATAAAACTTAATTGCAATGGTTATAATACAAAAGTTGATAAATGACAAAACGAGAGCATCAATTTTACTGCCTTCTCAAATGTATTTAAATCTCCGCCAGCAACATGGAATTTTTAAAAACACCATAGATATTTTGATTGTGAATTTTAATAGATAAATTTAAATCTATAAAACTGAACAAAATACAATTCAACTTCTATAATATAATAGAAACTCATGTTAAAGCTTTGACAAATATATCAAAATTTTTTCAGATTTTTATATAATCCAGAATAATAAAAAAAATCTCTATTTCTCAGTAAGACTCACGGAAGAATTAAAATTTCATATTGTTAATAAAGAGTTAATTTCCAAATTAAAAAATGTAAACTGCTCGAGAAATAAATTATTACATGCAAATAATGAATTAGCAATTAGAGCGGTATAAGTATGCTCATTAAAATATCTTTTCACTTAATTTAACATGCTTTTTGGAACTTTCTACGGTTTTTTGTTTAATTAATGTAATCTAAGATAATTTTAATGACTGAAACGCATAATTTCTTAATTATACTTAGTATATATAACTGCACGTGCTAATCCATCAGACGTTATTAAAACTTTTCGTTAAACTCTTCGTAAATCACGCGAATCTAAATTTTCGCTTGATGAGAGAGCTTGATAAAACACACGCGATACGTAACAGTAACGCGTACGCGTACAACGAACTTTAATTAGTATAAATTTAAATGCAACCTGCTAAAGAAATCCAGTCAAGGCCGTGCATTTTCAATCGCAAAACTGAAGAAGTACGCGATCATCGCAAAACGGCATACAAACCGTATTGCACGGACGCTATTATCCGCAAGACAATGAGGTCTGTAATATTGAAATCTCTGCATTTGCATACGCGTCCATAGCGCCGCTAAATGACACGAAGCACATTTATCACGCACGACTGTCGTTGTCATTAAATAAGCAATTTATGTATGTTGATCCGAATAACATAGCCCGCGCAAAAGAACGTCGTAAGCCTTTACGAATAAAGATATCTATATATTTAACATTGCAAATAAATACGTACACACACATACATATATAAATATATATATATACGATTCAAGAAAAAACTTGGCAGTATTCATAACATATTTATTTGTAATAAAAGAATTTTAATCTTCTTATATTTGTTAGTAGATAATTTATAATTAAAGTAAAAATAGATTTGTGGCTTTAAGAATAAATCAAATATTACGTAAGCAAGTTATCTAAATGATAGTTATTAGTAATGATAGTTATTAATACGTTAATAATACACTTACATAAGCAGATAAGATATAATTAGCAAACAATTGGAATAAACTTATCAATTACGAAGTTAACTGCAAACGTTTTGACTCTAGATTTAAATCCTCTTTAGCGTGAAAGTTAAGAGTGCAAACTACAATATAGTAATCCAAACTCAAAACCTTTGCAGTTAACTTCGTTGGTAAGTACATTACAATTGTTTGCGAATTATATCTTATCCTTATAAATATATTATTGACGACTAACAACCGAGAAAATTTAAGCAACTTACATATTTGATATAATAAATTATAACAATTATAAGTTATGAGAAAAT